GAATAATTATCTGATTTACTTATACACAGATTCAGCTCGTGGCACATGCTTAGCCTTGAGTCAGCATGCAAGTTTAGTGTTGATTTTTACAGATGCTTTGCTGTGCCAAATTGTTGGCTCTGTTAGGTGGAATTAAAGGAACAGGAAAAGTCCATTGGCTTGTCTAGCGAGCCTGTCTATTTTGTACAGTTCATTCCATCTACCTGTTGCACCCTTGAATCCACTTCATCTTCAGCTGTCCGTTTACCTGCCTTTTAATTGTCTACTTAAGCAGATGTGACTGGGAAAAATATTATTCTCAGTCCTACCCCTTATTGTTAGGGAGTTGGTCTTCCTCAAGTGAGTGTGTAAGTGTTAGACGGGAGCAAAATCTGCTTTGGCTGTAACATGTCTTAGTATTGTATTACTTGCCATCACTGATTGGACTCAATGTTGAAGAATGATAAATTGGACACATGGAACATCAATAACATTACTTGAAAAATAATTAGTACCTTCAGCAGAGGAAGGGAGTGAACTGGGGAGAGTCAAGCGTGAGTGCCAGGCTGTTACAAAATTCGTCAGTACTCCTATTCTGTGCAATAGCATATTTCTGTAGGTAAGCTGTTCAGAGGAGCCAAAACAACATTGTGTGCAAAATAATGTGAAAGAACAGAAATAAAGAATACAAACTTTTAGTTGTGAATATGCAGCTTGCTAACAGTATGCACTATTAAAATACCTTTCTGATTTTTCTGTTAGAACAAAGCTACGCTCTTAAACTTTTCAAATTATACATTCCAGGTAATGGAATTAAGGCATTGAAACTGCAAGTAAAATACAGCAGATGCAGGATACATGTTGAAATACAACAAATGTTGGAATCATTAGATTAGTATCTGTGAGAAAAAACTGATGTTAGGTTAACTAAATCAAATTTAAAACAATGATTGAAAGAAGGGGCAGAAGAGTGAATAGTATGCAAGTATTGCTTATTGTGCATCACAAAAGTTGTTCATGAAAGATACCAACTAGCCAAAGTGATTCTTGGTAGTCAGTGAATTGATCCACTCAAACTTTAAAATAAATTTATTAAATTATTCTTTTTGGAGGATAGGTTGAGTCAAAATGAGTTGTCCTTCAAATTTGCTTATAGGTGAGGACCGCAGGACTTAATCAGTTAAGATAAGAGGTATTGGGAGCTGCTGTACCTGATATGTGGCTACTGTATGCTCTACTAATTTTTGGAGACATGAGCAAAGAAATTTGTTAACTCATTAGCACATACGTTTACTTGCTACTTCAGATTCCATTTTGATTACTTTTCATTAATCATTTAAGTTGGCTAATGTTGCAGTTCAAAATAATTGGTGGAACTAGCAAACTAATTGTTCTTTCTTCAAGCTCCATTTCATCTCCAAAGTCCTTAATTATGCCGTGGCATCCCAAATACATTCCCATCTTTCCTCAACTCTTATGTTTGAATTATAAGTGTTTTGCTCTGCCACAGTGCCAAAATAGCTCTTATCAGTGCAAATAACATCCCATGTAACTGACAAAGCTAAAATTTCCCTTCTCAGTCCCCAATAAGATTAAAAACATCATTCCTATTCAGGGCTTCTACACTGTCATCCTGCTAGGTGGAACTATTCTCATGGTTTTATTCTTTTCCATCTAATTGTAGACAGAGAACTACTTGCAGTGGCTTTGGATCCTCCCCCATTGTTACCTTAATATCTTTGCCCCCTGTAACGGGCAGCATGCAAATGTGAAATAGGTGACATCATCCAGTTGCAGGTTTACACACATGCTGATGGCATTCGATTCCATCCCACTACCATGCCTCTTGACTCTTCCATTGTTGGTAAACTATGTGACTTTTTGTCCAACATTTATCAGTGGATCTGTGGATTAACAGAAATTTTCCTCACTTAAATATTAGAAACACCGGGAGCTGATAGTAAACTCTGTTAGCTTAACTCATTCCCTCTCCCTGGCAGTCCGTCTTCGATTCAGTCAGTCTGTTTGCGTCCATGGTGTCACGTTTGATCTAGATGCAAGATTCTGCCTTAATTCTCACACCATCCGTGAGACTTCTTAGTTCCGGCTTGGTACTTTTCTCCTGTTCAGTTTATCTCCTGCTGAAATCCTCACCTGTGCCTTGATTTCCTATGGTCTATTCCAGTGCGCAGTCCTCTTGGTTTCCCATAATCTGCACTTCATAAGCTTGAGGTTATTCAAAATGTTGTTGCTCGTGTTCCCAATCAAGCAGTGTGTAGATTTTAAAATGTTCATTGCTGTTTTCAAATCCCTGTGTGACCCTGCTGTGATATGTTGTGATATAAATATTTAATATGTTGGCCTCAATCATATATCTCATAATATTTTACCTTTTAGCTTTATGTTGACACAGTTGACTAAATCTAGCTTCTCTTATAAATAGTGTAAAAGAATTTGAGAAGCAAGATCCAGATGTATTCCACGGTTGATGGGTACTTGCATTTCTGATAGAAGAAGAGTAGAAGGACAATTTTACAAGCCTGATTATCTGATCGGGTAAAGTGGGCTTTTTATGCCTCAATTTCTAACAAGTGCTGCTGGCTGACATCAGCGTTGCAGATTTTTGCTTGGACGTGGCAGAGATGTTCACTGGCCTCCTGGTAGTCGATGACGACGCCTTTTGAATGTATTGCAATTGACTAAGATTTTAAAATGACAAATTAATGTATACTGGTGTTAAAAGTGCTCATTTCAACAATGAATCCTGGTGATATTGGACCAGAACTTACCTGCTGTCATTTTAGTTACATATAACCACCATAACTTTAACTTCAATAACTTTGTAACTCTTGGGCATCATAGCAATGAGCCAGTTTTTAAAGAACATCTTTAGTTGGCCAGAATGCATCCACTTGCTTCTTCTACATGAAGCTATAATGATGTCGAAGAGGGTGCATGTGCGTGTGCAAAAATGTTTTGATGTTGGAGGTGATAATATATGTTTTTCTAACCAAAGTTTTCTGTGGATGAGTTGTTAGGAATAAAGAGTCCTGAAGAATCTTTCTGCATTGTTCCCATCAAAATTTGCTACAACCATCAAATCATAGCTCGGATCAACTGAATCACTGCTGTTGATAAATCTTTTAGATACCAGATGAATTGCATATAGTTTTGTGGAGACTCTGCACCTTGATGTTAATATTCAGTTCTTTAAGTCTGAACTACTATTTTTTTTTTCCTCCTCCGAACTTGTATTATTTTTTAGTAGTCTCCAGTTTAAGCTGTTTCCAAATGGTGGGCGCAATCTTTATTCTTGACCTCTACAGCTGATTTGTGCTTTCGTGCTCATAGTCCTTGTATTTAAAACCAACCATACCCTTCATTTTGAAATTCTGCATTTAGCTTCTAGTAAACGTGTTTAATATGAGAACAACCTGGTTTTGGATGCAAATAAAATTTGATTCCACTGTTACAATTGTTTTTCCTTGGATACATTTTCTTCAACTTAGCATAAAATTCAGCTTCTGTAGGTAAGTTTTCATTGTTTATGAATCAAAAACATACTTGTCCAGAAAATAATTGATTGTGGAGTAGCAGACATTTTTTTTTCTTTATTCATTCGTGGGATGAAGGCGTCGCTGACTAGGCAGCATTGGAGATGGAGACCAGTGAAACCAAGGAACAATTTTAAATAAGAATGTGGATTTTAAAACAAACTGTTACTCTAATGGAATAACACAGTGTGGAGCTGGAGGAACACAGAAATTTCTGAAGAAGGGTCCCGACCCGAAACGTCAGCTTTCCTTATCCTCTGATGCTGCCTGGCCTCGGCAGTTCTTACTATCTCTGTTACTCTAATGGAACTAGTGTAGGTCATATATGAATGAGATTTGACGTAGCTTAGAATATGGGCAGAATTTCAATTGTTCCTGAGTGTATGTTGGTTGTAACATATGAAATGCATGACAGAAATAGCTGAATCTAGAGGTAAGCAAGGCGCAGATAATGTTTTATTCATAGCTCCGTTCTAGCAGGAAGTGATGAGGGCTCAGAGTTACAGGGGTTATGATTAAATAAAACTAATTTGTTTTAGATTTCTCATCTTATTAAGCACAGTTATTTCTTGCAATGTGGTCATTGTTTGTTGAATAGGAGGATAGTTATTCTTATCTAAAGTTTCACATCAGTGAACCTCTTTGGCTTTTGTAAGAAAAAACTATCACCTACTTCATCATATTGATTACTACTAGCTCTTTATTTCCAGATTTAATTCCAGGTTACTGTCGTAAATAGTATGGTGTTGTCCCAATTCTGGAATTTTGATCAGCAATAAATGCTCATGTCTAAAAGGTGTTTCTTGGTGGGAAGCATGGAGGTAGTGATGTTCTACACACCTCTTGCCTTTGTCCCTTTAGGAAATGACATACTGGTTTGGGTGATGCTGTCAAGCATTCTTGAGTTGCTGCTGCACATCCTATGCTAGGATTAATGGTTGGATAATTAATGGGTAAAGTGCCAATCAGGCAAAATGCTTTATCTTGACTAGTGCTGCAGTTTTTCAATGCTGTAGCCATCAACACCAAGGTAACTGGATTCCATCACAATGCTGACTTGTACCTTCCTTATGGAGGTTAAAACCATTGCAAAATAGTCAAGCTGTTAGCCACAGTAGTTCTTATGACTCAAGTTAAGTTCCAAGAAATCTTTCAGTCTGCAGAACCCTCTATTATCCCTTGGCATGTACAGTAACATTATTTTGAATATATTACAGTCCAGATTGCTTACCTGGGTAAAATATTTCTGTGCTGTGCTATTTAATGTTGAAACTCGTAATGATGGAATATCAAAAGGTATCCTCATTGCACACCAGTCTTTATCAAAGTAGACTCTTTCAGTTAAAGTGATTTTTGAGAAACCTGACATGCAGTGCTGGTTGAAACAGTTACAAAGGCCAAAATTAAGAAATTGATGGCCTAACAAGCTATACTAATTTCTAATTGTGGATTATTGTCTTTTTTAAGGTTATCGCTCAGATCCTTTTTTGTTGGTCACAGCACACAGAGTTAATACTGGTTTCTCCTGGCTGTTCTTGCAAGCTAAGGAATGTACATTATTCTCTGGTAAGCAAAAGGTTTGCTACACATCTGAGACTTGGCTCATAATGGGCAAAAGGGAGCATGGTAATATGAGATCTTAATTTTGGGATTATCAGCGCTGATTTGTCAGATAGCATTGTTGATAGCTGGCAGTACACAATTAATTATCGGTCACTGTAGATGAAGTAAATTGAGCTGAAAGAAATTTTAGTGAATTTATTTTGATTTACAGCTTTAAAAGAGGGCATAATTCCTTACAGTCACTTTTGACAATTGTGTGACCAGGTGCTTATTGTTATGGCCTAGATAAGGCTGCGTGGACTATGGTCTGGAGTCAATCAAGTAGACCTGGTTGAATCTGGCATCATGATGCAGTTTACCCCTCCTTCAGATGTGAGCGACTGTTTCAAAGATTAATGTTATTTCTGAAAAATGGTGAAGGAGAAGAATCTTTTGTTTTAACATTAAGAAAAGTAGTGAAATTTATAATTACACGAAGAGAACATTAGCACAAACTCCATCAATAGGAGTTAAACTATGCTTCTGTACGTAACCTGAGCCTTGTCCTCACGAATTGTGTGATGGTTGTTTCTGTAAATCTCAAATGCACTGGCAAGATTTCTCTGGTCATTCTCTGTGTCTCACTACATTTGCCTAGGTATTGCCAGTTACAGCCATAATCTCATTCCTGTGAAATGATCATTGATGATATGCCCAAGTAGTATACCCAGCATGAAAATTCAGATAAATAACACCATTGTTTTTTACATATCACCTACTAATCCCCCCACCCTAACCCATTTTGGTTCCATTGGCAAAAATACTTGCCCTCGCTGCCAGAATTGATTGTTTCTGCATGTTTCATGCCAGCTATTTGAATGTCATCAGTGCGTCCCGTACAAAGCTGTGCCTACTTTTTGTATTCCAATTAGCCCGTTCCCTGGTGTAGTTCACAACAGGGAAATCTTTTGGCTGCGAGGCCAAATCTTGTGTTCATTTAAAAATTTTTGGCCCATCTACATGGCCTCACATAGCTTGACCTCTCCAGCCATTTTCAGTGCCAACATGTACTCTCCACTCTGTTCAGTTTAATTTGCTTTATTCTCTTCACTTCACTCCACTGCTAGTTTTCTTGGCCACATGTTCTCCAGTCAAATCTTGCTGCATCTCTTTCAGCTTCAAAGAACTTGTAAGAATCCCCTTTTTTGATCATGTTTTTTCTATCTTTCTAATTTCTTAACTCTTCCAGTCCTTCCAAATTCCTTCTCCTCCCAAAAAAATCATCAGAGTTTCTTCAGGCCCTTGAAACAAGTTATTCAGATTGTCATTTGCAACTACAGTACAATATAAGAGGGCTTAGCTAAGCTATCGTCAGAAAAATCATGGATATTAGCCCTTTATAAATGGGATCTATGAAGAAAATTAATATTTTTAGTGAACACTTCAATGCAAAAGGTCAGTTGGTGGTACAGAGTTTAAATATTGCTGTAAACGCAGAACTATTACTGAAGCTTTTTATCTTGTACTCATCAGAACAAAGACAAGTATGAAATTCCAAGTTCTAAACTGTCACAATTTGTGGATCCTAATTGGCTGAGGTATTGCCACAGAGAGAGCAGAAAATTCTATTCTCACCAAACCCTAAGATAATTCAAAAGAGGCGCAAGATCTGAACATATTTCTTCTTTGTACAGAAAGGAACTTGCATAAAAAATTGGCAAGTGTGAAGGAGCCATGTTACGAGCCCAACTGATTGGCTTATATTGATCGTTGCTGTAGCTGTTAGTGCACTTGAATTGTCGAGTAATTACTATCCAATCATGTATTAAATCTAATAGGCATTTTGTTTTGGGTTTTGCAAGTGCAAGTTGGTTGAGTATGCCTATACTCTGCCTTAAGTGAACAAGTGAAGAAATATCAGCTATTCGTTTGTCTTTTTTCAGCAGCAGTGATACAAGTAGCACTGTTAAAGTGAAAACAAATAACTCTTAATGTTAAAATATTGGTGAAGAAAATGACAGATTTAATTTGTTTTCCCTCACAGACCTTGTAGGTCATTCAGAAAAATAAGGTTCATTTTCCTGTTGTTTGGTAGAACCTATAGAATATCCACTCTTCCAGTCTACATCGTAAAAAGCTTTGTTCAAAGATTAGTTATAGCAGCAAATTAGGGAAAATTTTAATGTAGTATGCTGAGCAGGAATGGAGTGAATTTAGTTGGCCATCTATTTTACACTCCTATTTTATGCTTGTTGACTTTCACAAGATGTGAAATGGGCCTAGTGGAAGTTTATGTTAGAGTAACCATGTTGTATTACAATCCACAACTCTTGGTTGTTTTTGAACATATTTCCATACTAGTTGTGATGATGCTACAAATATGATCCCGACTATTCAATAAAGGGTATTCAGTTACTGACTGGTTGATCTCAGGCTATGATTATCGCTAGATTTGATAGAGCTTAATAATATAATGAGCAGACTGGATAGATTAGATAGGGAGAAGCTGTTCCTGCTCAAAGGAACAAGAAGGAGAGGACATAGATTTAAAGTGATGTGCAAAAGATAAAAAGGTGATGTGAGAAAAAGCATTGTCACATAATGAGTAGTTAGGGTATGGAATGCTCTGTTTGGAAATATGGTGGAGGCAGCTTCAACTGAGGAATTCAAGTGGGCATTGGATGTGCCATAACAACTCTGATTGTGTGGCTATGTAATTCTTTAAGAAATAATTATGGTTTAAAATAGTTTTGAGCACTGTGGTGCTTAGAGATCTTGTGTATTTATTTTTCTTTGTTTAACTTTTAACTAAGTGTAGTAAAGACTTTTTGATGTTACCACACTGAAGTGTGCAGTCACGAGAACATAGTGAGAATCTGCTAAACAAATTTATTTACTGTTATCACATGTAACAAGATACAGTGAAAAGTATTGTTTTGCATGCTATGCAGGTAGATCGTACTATGCAAAGTGCATCAGGGTAGCGGAACAGAGTGCAGAATACAGTGTTACAGCTGCAGCGAAGGTGCAGAGAGAATTAACACTTGAGAGGCCCATTCAAAAGTCTGATGACAAATTAACATTAAAAGAAATTAACTGTAAATTCTGGATACATTCATTCATACAAGACCAAAGTCTGGATACCTTCAAAAGCATTTACCCATCTTTTTCTCCTGGCTCTTTAAAAATTTACTTGGTGCCCGTCGGTGCCTACTCCCCATGGTCCTAAACATTCCTCCTTCATGGATAATAATAGTCCTCTTGAATGCCTTGTTTGATCCTGCCTGTGCAGTGTTTTCAGCCAGATCCTAACCATTGGCTGCATGAAAATGTTTTTCCTCATGCCGACTGTTTCTTTAGGCTATTATCTTAAAACTGGACCCTTGATTCACCATCCAAGATGGGAACTGTTTCTCCCTGTATATAGACTGCTCAGATCCATCATGATTGTTAAACCTTCTGTCTATAGTTTTGCCTTCAGGACATGAATCCTTTTGAGTTTTCGGTGAAAATCTGCCAACTGCCTTTCCAACAACGTTGTGTACTTGCACCTAACGTACATAGAACTTTGAACAGTACAGCACAGTACAGGCCCTTCGGCCCACGATGTTGTGCCGGCCTATTATCCTAGTCTAAGATCAAACTACCCTGCACACCCTAATTTTACTATCATCCATGTGCCTATCCAAGAGTTGTTTAAATGTCCTAATGTATCCGACTCCACTGCCACCACTGGCAGTGCATTCCATGCATCCACCACACTCTGTGTAAAGAACCTACCTCTGACATCTCCCCTATACCTTCCTCCAATCACCTTAAAATTATGCCCCTCGTAATAGTCGTTTCCGCCCTGGGAAAAAGACTCTGGATATCCACTCTATCTATGCCTCTCATCATCTTGTACACCTCTATCAAGTCACCTCTCATCCTTCTTTGTTCCAAAGAGAAAAGCCCTAGCCCCCTCAACATTTCCTCATAAGACCCGCCCTCCAGTCTAGGCAGCTTCCTGGTAAATCTCCTCTGTACCCTCTCTAAAGCTTCCACATCCTTCCTATAATGAGGCAACCAGAACTGAACACAATATTCCAAGTACTGCGGTCATTCAAAAAAGCAGCTCATCACCACTTTCTTAAGGGTAATTAGAAATGGCCATTAAATACTGGCCTCACAAGCAAACTATTTTTAAAAAATCATCTAGATTGAGCAAGTTTCCCCATTTTGGTAAAAGATTACAGTAAAGTGGAGCCATTGCTGCCCTTTTACAACTGGGATCTTGCTACCAATTCAGAATGCTGATTTTTTTTTTTCTCCGATGCCTGCAAAGGGTGCATACAAAAAAGATTTTTGCCAGACTTTACCCTGGCTATTTTAGGGCAAGGGTTCATGCAACAATGGATTGCCATAAATTTGTCCCATTTATTGGTAATGCACCCTTAATAACATGTACTGTTGCTGAATTTCAATGTCATACTAGTTGTTGTTGATGTAAAGTGTTCATTTTAATCCTCAAGTTGTGGGGAAAGCACTTGAGTTTATATGAAACCCATGTTGTAGGATTGTTTGATGTGCATCATTAAAGATGTATCTACCTGCTGCATCTAATTCACAGCTTATCTAATTTGGTAATGTTTACTCATGCATGCTAGAGGAAGCATTTTTTTTTTCCTCTAACCTGTCTAATTGTCTAATTTGGGAACACTTTGTGAGGAGATTTTTTTTTTATTACATCAAAGTCCTGACTTTAGGTCAAGTTTAGTGTGAGGGAAGTGGCTTCTAAGCTCAACATGGCATTGACAATGCATAGCAACTCTCAACTAGATGAAATTTGAGTTGATACATTGTGAGTTATTCTTAATACTGTAAAAATTAGAACATTATGAATAAATTAGCTAAAGAAATATTGTAGATCACCTGACATCTACTAAGCATATGATACTGAGATTTTCCTGTGTTTCTCAACTATTTCTTTTAAAAAAAGCTCTTAAGTTTTCTGATACTTACGTATTGTATTTCAAACATTTATCATCCTTTTGGATAAAGTAAGAGGAATGGTGAACTTACCGTAGTCCTACTGAACCATAGAGCTGTTGTCATTAGAGAGAGATGACTGGTGGTGGTTTACTTTGAGGGTCAGCACACCTCAGGTGAAGGATGAGGTCAAGAATGAGAGTCCTTCCTGGTAACTTCTGTCGATGCAGGAATTAACCCATGCTGTTGGTGTCACTCTGCGTCACAAACCAGCCATCCAGCCAACTAAGCTAACCAACTTCCTTTGGAAAAACTACTGTATAATGGTTAAATCGATTGTATGAAGGGACCAGTCTAGATTTTCACTCCTTGAATCCGAGGAGTAGAAAGGAATTGGAAATACAAATTGTTATAGAAAAGAATAAACACAGTCAAAGATTTACTGAAATAACAACTGAAAATGCTGGAATACTTTAACAGTATTACCAGAACACCTGAAGAGTCAACTCTCTTTTTTTTCTCGCTTTTTTTTCCTCTCTGTGCAGATACTTCCTGACCTGAGTTTTTCCAACATTCACTGTTGTTATTTCAATTGTCCAACATCTACAGTAATTTGCTTTGAGTCATCAATTACGCTTGAATTGGAGAAATGTCCACTTTTAAATCCCTTTGTTCTAAGAAATTGGAGGCCAAATCTTTGTTTGTATAAAGCCAGTAGTAAATTTGAAGGCAGCGGTGATGGGGCTAGCCAGAAGACTCTTTTTATTTTAAAAACAAGTCGCATGAAACAATCACACAACCATGTTTCAAACATAATATCTCAGCGTGGTGGAGCAAAGGGGGATTTTCTGAATTCATTTGCTTCTGCTGCTTGTGGCGACTCTTGCTAGGAGGCCTTATATGCCATGTTATCTGTGTTGTGGCATCCTCACACATCCATTGTAGCTCATCTACAAATACTGTGTGACATATCTGTCATGCAACTAATCCTAGATAAACCCCACTTTCTGGTGCCCTCCACTTTACCTTCTAGAAGTGCTGTCTCGGTTTTATAGCTCTGTTCAAATGACCAAAATACTTAATGCATGTTTAATTATATGTGTTTGCTGGTTCAGTATTCAATAGGTAGGTCCTTTTGTTTACCCATGTAGGAATTAATTTCCTTCAGCAGGCTTCTTGATTGCCCATAAACCCTTATCTCTCATTTATATTCCATCAAGTGAGGGATCAATTACTCTGATATTGAAGAGATTTTACAGGCACAGTAACTGTTTCCTGCGAGGAAAAGCCAGACCAAAAGTCATTACTGTAAAATTAGAGCTAAACCTTGAATTCAGTAACACATTTTATACAGAGGATACTGGAAATCTGAAAGTTATGCCTGCAAAATGCTGTGGATCTTGGGTCAACTGAAGTTTAAGAGCAAGATTGATTTAGATTTTTATTACATTAGAATATTGAGGGGTATTCAATTAGGGGGAATGCTGTTTAGAGATAAGTTAACCATAATCTCATTGAATATTGGAACAAGTTTAAGGGTATGAACAGCCTAATCTTGTTCCTATGTTCCTTGCTAAGAGATTCACCAGCCCTGTCAATATAATCAGTTTACCTCTTCTACTTCCTTGTAAAGCAGATTTAAAGAAAATCCATAGAATCCCTACAGCGTGGAAACAGACCATTCGACCCAAGAAGTCCACGCTGACTGTCCAAAGAGCATCCCAACCAGACGCACCTCCTGTGGCCAATCCACCCAACCCACACATCCCTGGACACTATGGGCAGTTCAGCATGGCCAGCCCATCTAATGTGCACATCTTTGGACTGAGGGAAGAAACCCATGCAAACACATGGAGAATTTGCAAACTCCACACAGATAGTCGCCCGAGGCTGGAATTGACCCCCGGGTCCCTGGTGCTGTGAGTCAGCAGTTCTAACCACGCCACCCCATCTTTTATTTCCACAAGGAAGTGGTGCTGTTCTGACTTAATGCGTGTTTCTTGAAATGTCACAGTAAACAGTCAGTTTCAAAGACTACATCGTCTAGCTTATGCAAATTTCTTCAGTTTGTAGGTTTTTAAAAATTGTGCAAAATGGTTTGGAACATGAACTTATAACCTATTCCCAATCCTGTCTGTGAAAAATTGATGAGTGTCAGACAAAAATAAAAGTGGACTGAGTTGATTTGAGGCCCGATTGGTGCTGTGATAAAAATTTGAATAGGTAGGCATTTATTTTGCTCTGTAGTAACCTCTGTTCTATTAATTCAGTCAATAACATTAATACTCATTATTACTCTTTGGTCACATGCGGTCTGAAGATTTAAAATGGGGTCACAGTGGGGAAAGGTTTAGTAAACACAACAGTTGAGATCTTGAGAGAACGAGAGAGATCGGGAGGAGTGGTGCTGTCATCAGAATCCACGTGGAAGCTGACAATACATCTGAAGAAGTTATCACCAATCGGAAACATGCTGTGGAAGAAGAGAAGATTTTTAGTGAATTACAGAGGTAGCATTTGATGGTGGAAGGAGGAAGAAATGCTGAAAGTTCTACAGCTGTTGCTTTATGGATAAGAATCAGCCAAACACTAGCAGTCCCATTGAACTGGCTAACAAAGGAAAAATGCAATTAAGATCTGGTCCACCATGTCAAAGGCTGTAGAAGAGGAAAATTGTCTCATGGTCACAGAACATGTTTCTTAAATCTTAGAGGAGAAATTTAGTGCCATAGTGAAGATAGAAAACATTTTGGTGTGATTTGAAATGGCACTGCACACTTTAGAACAGTGTTGGCCAACGTACTGTGATAAAGATTAATTAACTTGTCTGGGTGACTTTTAAGGTAAACATGGAGATTTTTAACAGAATATCATTTATATCCTGTGAAATGACACTTTTACTAATTGATATAGAATATTAAACAATACGAACTGACCAACGAGGCTTGTTTTAAGACAATTTTTAAAAATTAGACTATCAATTTTGATACGCATGTTACCAGTTAATGATATGCTTGAAGAGTTTAATTTGACAGACAAGAACCATCGCCTGAATGTGTTAGTTCCCTGCCTAGCTGATGGTCGATACCTGCAAAAATAGGGAAAAATAATCTTTTTAATTAAGAGCTTTCAAGTCACTGAGGCGGCTTCGGGTTAACCTTCTGCTCACATTTTGACAATGCTGACCAATTCCACTCAGCATTTGAGACAAGCATGTGATTCCAGAACAATTAAGAGAATTACTAAGAAAAGAAACATTTTGTTGAAACTTTTGATTTTGCACTCATCAGGACAATTCACAAGTACACTAATATAAAGGCAAGCAATATGTTTATACTATATGAGAAGTGTACTGATTGGCAACATCTCTATCAGTCAAACTCCTCTTGACAAAGAGAGATTACGAGTTGAATAACAGACTGTTCACCTATTTCAGTTGTTTAATTATTAATGAGGCAGGTTGACTCTGGTCATGGAACAGCACTGAAGAATGAACCAGAAAATGGCTGCTGATTATTTCATGTCGAAGCAGGCGCAGTGTGTACATGTTCTCTTGTCTGCGGAAAAGACAGCTTTGTGTATTAGTATATGTATCTTCCAGCATGTATAAGTGCTTTACATAGCAAGCCTATCTGATGATTACAATTGTTTGTCAGCATAATTGTCTATCCTTTTCAAGTTTGCCTTTGAATACCTTGCAAATAGCTCAGGCCCTATTTGCTAACCAAGAACACTTAAAGCTGAAATAGGGCATGTCAAAGCCGTTATTTGAGATAACTTCTACCCTAATGATATTATTTCTTGCTATATACCAAGCAAACTCATTACTAGGCCTAAGGCTGCCACATTTGATCCTGAAAAGCACTGTCTACCCCAGATTACCATGGAAGGTATCCTAAAATATTTGAGCAACGGATGAAGCTACTTTACCCTCCCATTTATACAGTAGCAACAGAGTGATGTTCACCATTAACACAATGCTATTGACAAGCTAAGATATTCTGCTTATCACACAAATAAGTGTTGACAATTTCAATAAATATGTGGCAATTTCAGTACCACTGTCATGCTAAATATGTACAGCCTAAATATTGGCATATCACATAACATGTCCCTTTGGCTGTTCACAGCAGGCTAAGTAATGAATGTAACAACCAGCCCCTACTTGTAAACTCCCAACAGTGTCTGACATGTATGATCAAACAATTGGATAACATTTGATAAATAATCCTGAGTGTACTAGGAATTATGTTGACATGTAGTTTTGAGATTGTAATCTCTCACACTAATACAGAGGGCCATATGCTTCACAGGTATAAATAATGTGCACACATTGTACTTGTGGTACATAGATGACTGTTATTCACCGGTTCATTCTTTAAGGTTCGTTCTTCTGCCGTATTTCATCTCTATAGCAAGTTCTCACCTTCTGTAGCAGAGGAATCATTCCTTTTATCTGTTGAGCACAGTCCAGAATAACTGTTACTGGATGAGTTTCATAGAAGCCAGGCACTTGAGTTCAAATCTGACCATGGTGGGTCGGTAATTGAAGTTCAATTCAAGAAATATAAAATACAGTGTTAGTATCGAATGTAGTAACCCTGAAACTTTAGGAGTACTGTAAAACTCCGTATGATTCACTAATATTAATTAGGATGAGAAATTAGACAGTTTTGCTTCGTCTAGTCCAGACCTCCTCCATCGTGGTTTGTTTTTGACTGCCTTCTGGAAATGGCTCAGCAAGCTACTTTGGTTATATCAAATCATTGCAGAAAATTCAAAACAAAAGTAGTATCAGCCAGCCTAATGAATATGTACTAAGACATCAGATCCTGCCCAGACAATCCTACAATGTGCTGTGGACTCCTATTAAAGAACTCTTGCCAAAATTGGAGCAGCTTCTTCATGTCCTGGTCAAGCAACAGCCTGACTGACAATCATGCACACAAAATTGTACTTGACTCTTCCATTCTTGGATATGTTCTGCCCCACCAGCAGGATAGAACTAACACTGAGGCCCAATGGTATAAAGATGGAAATGTGTGGCCCTGGCCCTGAAAGGCTCAATAATCATTTCAATTCAATTATGTAGCATTAGGTCAAGAATGACTATAGAAATCACCTACTAATTACCACCTATGACCTACCTCATCCATTGAATCAGTATTCTCCCTTGTTAGTCACCGCCTTGAAGAAATGTTAAAGATAGCAAGAGCGCTAAGTATATGCTGCTTTGGAAAAAAAAAATGGCCGTCAAAAAGTTTGGCTCTGAAACAGCAGACCGACTTTCCAGAGAGTGTTAAGAGAACCAATTGATTTGAATTATTCCAAAGCTAATGGTATTAGTGGGTCTATTAATCACACAATTAATGGCGTCTTTATACTGAGGGTAACCCCATGCTGTTGGCACTACCACTGTGCTAAATATGATAGAATCAGAACAGATCCATGGGCCCAAAACTGCACATATATGAAGTGTTGTGGGACGTTATATCCCACTAGAATCTATAATGTAATAGTTTGGCATACTCCTCATTGTACCATTATCACTAAGCTAGAGGTTAAAACTTTAGTTCAATAAGTAGTATAGAAGAGCAGCACCAGGTATCCCTAAAAATGAGGTGATAACCGAGTGAAGTTACAACACAGGACTCCCAGCATACTGAAGATTGGAAGTGACATTCTAGAGACAGGATAAATGGTCCCAATAAAGAAGGAATCAGATCAGCGCAACTAGTCCTGAATGGTAGTTAACAAATAACTAACCAGAGAGGGAGGTTGTGCCTGTAGTATTGAGGGAACCAAGTGGGAAAAGCCTACTTTTCTAACCAAATTAACTGGCTGCAGGTGCCAAACAGTATAGCAATACTGATAGAAAATGATCCCTCCCTCTCCCTCACCTTTGGTCTGTATTATCCTTAATGGGCTTTGCATGTAAATCATTTGGGGAACACAGGTGATCTGCTGTTGATTGTTAAAAGATGGAGGAAAAAAAACATGATTTGGTGATGGGGATAAAAGAAAAATTGAGTTGTGTACAAGAACATTTCTGGACAAAAAAAGAACAGTGAATAGTGAAGTTCTCTAACACCCAGAGAATACTGTACTTAATGTTGTGTCACCAGGAGCAGACCTGGTAATTAATCGCAAGTTCATGGCCAATATATTTCTCACTCGAGCATTATCGTTAAGACACAGGATCAACTCTTGTTCAATGAAAATCGCAGAAAAGCGTATCATGACCGGCATATGCAAAACTAAGTGAAAACCTGGTGAAGCTTCGACTCAGGAATACATACATGCTGAACAGTGGGTATGTTATGAGTTAGGAACTGGATTAGGCCAATTGGCCCCTTGTGCTTGCTTTGTCATTTAATAAGATAATGGCTGATCTGACTCTTACCTCAATTCTTTATTCTCACCTACTACCCTTGATAACCTTTCAACTCTTCCTTACCAAGAATCTATCCAACTCTGCCTTAAAAATATTTGACAGGTCTGTTTCTATCGTCTTTTGAGGAAGGAAATTCAAAAGATTCACAACACTCTCAGAGAAAAGTATTGGTCTAATATCTGTCTTAAATGATTGTCTCCTTATTTTTAGTAGTGACTGCTAATTCTAGATTCTCCAATAAGAAGAAATACCCTTTTCTGTGTCCACCTTGCTAAGCTCCCTCAGGATCTTGCATGCATCAATCAAGTCAACTCTTACTCTTCTAAACTCCAACAGATGCAAACCTAACTTGCCCAAATCTTCCTCATAACCCAACCTCCCATTCTAGTTGTTGATCTAGTAGACATCTGAACTGCTTCCAGTGTATTTACAGCTTTCTTTAAATAAGGAAACCAATACTTTTTACAATGGTCCACAATGGTCTCACCAGTGCCTTGTACAAATGAAACATGGTCTCCCACTTTTACATTCAATTTGACTTGCAATAAACAATGACATTCTTTTAACTTCTCTTGACATCCTCCCTCTTCATCACAACTTCATCATATTCCCCTTACTTAATTCTGCCACATTTCCCCCACCCAGGCCCCTTTCTTTCTTCCCCACCTTTCCTGAATGAAATAGTTGGTGACCAGTCCTAAGTTCTTTTCAGCCATGTCTCCATTATCACATGACATCATATTTCCACATGGCCTTCTGCACCAGCTGCTCACCAACCTTATTTACCACATGATATGTCATAAGTTATACAACATGGAAGCAGAAACCAGGTATCCTAAACTGATCCAGTCCCATTTGCCAGCATTTGGCCCATATACACCCTTCCTATTCATGTACCCATTCAAATGCCTTTTAAATGTTGTAATTGTACCAGTCTACACCACTTCCTCTGGCAGCTTATTGCACACACGCACCACCTTCTGCATGAAAATGTTGCCCTGTGGGTTTCTTTTAAATCTTTCCCCTCTTAAATCTGTGCCCTCTAGTTTTGGACTCCCTTACCCTAGGGAAAAGACCTTGGCTATTCATCTTATCCTACCCCTGTCTCATAGTTTTATAAACTTCTTTAAGGTCACTCCTCAGCCTCTGACGCTCCAGGGAAAGAATGCCCTGCCTGTTCAGCATCTCCCTATAGCTCACATTGTCCAATCCCTGCAACATGCTTGTAATAGTTTCTGAACCCTTTCAAGTTTAACAACATCATTCCTGTAGCAGTGAGACCAGAATTGAATACAATATTCCAAAAGCAGCCTAACCAATGTCCGCATCCATGTGCTGTAATTTAGATTGCTTGCTGTGACACCACCTTGCAATTTTTACCCTATCAATCCATCAATTATTTGTAAACTTTGTTTCTCTGCATTGATATCACATCCATAAACCATTGCCCTACCAATTTTGTTTAAACTCTCCCAACAGCCTTCGCAAACTGTCATGCAAGGACATTGGTACCAGTTGTACTTGTGCACAATCTTTTTGGCC